TTAAAAAGTTTCAATAAAGTTCTTTGCATATGAACAACACTTGTGTCAAAAAGTTGCATCAGCAAAAAAAAAAAAAAAAATTAAAAAAGTTCTTCAAGAAAAGTTGCGTGTACAAGCTTTCAGTAGCTGTGTAAGGTCAGAGAAATCAGCATTTTCAGGGACCTATGGCAGAACTTCCACCTAAGGCGGTAAAAAAGGTAGAGATGCGAGTTTTTGATGGCATAACCTTGCATTTAATTAGAGAAACATTTACCATTTTTAAAATCAACCTTCTAGGCTGAGTTTACAATAATTCTTCCATTTTTAAACTAATAGTACTTTCATTAATTGGTCAGGGAGCAATGCTATTAAGAAATCGATAGGAAGAAGCAAGAATATCTTTTACCCTGAATATCCTAAAGCCTTTCATTTATAGAACAGAATACAATGATGCAGCTAGTCTCACTATATTTTAAGACAGCCATACTAGAATTATTTACTTACCACAGGACAATTAGCTTCTCGCATCCACTCCAGGTTTCTTGGGTCGACAATCAAATCATCTACAAAACAAAGCAAAGGATTCATATATTTTGGTTTTTTTAAACCCTATCATTATTGAAGCTAACTTGCTTGCGGCAAAACTAAATTCCAAGTATCGCAGGAGAAGGGCAGGGAGGAGAGCAGGTGGCATAGAATAAAACTTGAATTTGAACCTTCAACAAGCACAAGACTACAGTGAAACTACAATAAATTAGCATACTGAAAGAACTATAGCATCTCATGTAAATGGATATTGATCGTTATGCAAGATCAGCACAGTTCAAACTCAAAGGCATATTATAAAGAGCTCAAACATGCTATAAACTTACTGTAACCAAACATAGTTCCTCTCTCACAAACCATTACATTTGGATTTCCAGCCAATCTAATTTTTTCAGCTGAATTTGTCATGACCTGCATATTTATATTTATGAAAATATATATATATATAGACAAGACAACAATGAAATTTAACACATCAGGTTGGACAATATACTTACAGAAGGAGCACAGAACTGGCCTTTCTTGATGTTGACAATTTTTCCAGTTTTGGCTGCTGCCACTAAAAGATCTGTCTGTCAAGAGGGGAGATAAAAGAATTATATAAAATCAGGATATCTATCATCCAAAAAGCCAGTCAGTTATACAGGTACTGATAACTGAATTGGGAAAAAATTATTTTACTTGACGACATAGGAATGCTGGAATCTGAATAACATCTGCAACCCTGCCAACTGGTTCACACTGGTAAACGAAAAGGTAATGAGTAATAGTAAGTTAAAAATTTTTCTAAAATTCAATAAAATGCGCCTCCAACGAGAACGTATCAGAAGCATCCATTCAATAAATTCAGTAATTAAAGTAATAATATATCAAGAATTTAACAATAAAAACATTGCTAGCCATTTAATTACAAGTTTGGAGGGATAAAAGCCAAATAGAAAGGGAAAGATAGCAAAGTCAAATCAAGCTTTACAAGACATTAATCATCTAAACCAAATTTTTTCTTTAAAGTATATATGCAGATAGATCAATTTCTTTGGCCATCCAGATACATACATGAAGTCCCCAAAATATGCAATGCATAAGGGCGCTCAACAGCCAAAATATAATTGAAATAAGGATGGGTAGCTAAACCGCAGCCTGCTAAACATCTGTTACTCTGAACTCCTAAGCTTATCTAAAATCAGAAACACACAACCCCGGTTTCTTGCCTTGTTCTTCCAAGTAAATTTCATCCAATCACATCGCTTTCAAAAGGTATAGAATTTTATCTAGTATTTTGGTCATAGATCATGACCATTTATTGTGTTTTTGAATTTTTTAGTGCCACTGAAAAATGTAACTGATTTACAAATTTGCAGATTGCTGGCTGAAGTCTGGCAAATTTGTAAAGACCTAAACATATAAACCCGGAACTCCCAAATTTAAAACCATAAATTCGACATTATGATGACATTATACATCAATCCGTGTATCATAATTGGCATCACTGATACTGCATAAGATACCCTATCAAAATGACAGATAATTTGAATGAACTTCATCACAACAGAATATGGAACAAGGGACTTAATCCAAGCAAAAATGCTAAAAAATTTGAAATATGTTCCAAACATTCAAACAGGCAGAACAGTTGTGTTGGATATAAGCACATACATTACCTGGATAGTCTCATGCACATCTGTCACAATAGGAATGTCATAGGCTATTTTGACCTTCTCAAGTATCTGTAGAAAATAATGAGAAATGTAGACAATCAAATCTTTGGGTTAGCTTGAAAATAAAGCATAGCAAAATTAGTGCCAGCAAAAGCTCAAAACAAGTTGGTCTAAGCATGAGCCGTAATTTGCCTTCATCAAGATCAAAATTCGGTGGTTTTAAACAATTTTACTACCATGATGCAATTTTCATGTCAAAGAAAAATGGCACTCTAGCCATGTCACAATAGTTGTGCTAGAAGATATTCAAAGTCATAATTCCTTTTTATGTAAATATTTTATCATAATTACCATTAAAAATGAAAATCCTCCTAAATTTCGTAGCATTTGTACAGTAGCCTTTTCCATGATGTAGTTAACAATGCAAGAGGTGACATCCAAACCAGAACAGCACTCCCATGGCATAACTTTCTGAACCTTACAAGGGGCTGAGAAAAGATTACCCAGGTTCCTACCACAAGGTCGGCATGTGCAACATCCATCCAAAATTATCTGGTAAGATATCAATTACTCCTTTCCTTTTTTACGTATCTATAATTAATGCTTTTATTAAAACTCCAGAATCATTAACGAAATAGAACATCCTACTTGCTCAAGAAACAAAACTACAATGGTGCAATTAAAAGTGGCAGAGTTCTGAACCTTCAATCCTTCAGCCATGCCTGGGCCACGAAATGATTTTGATGATGTCCGATTGGCTTTATCAAAGCTTGACTTGAAAACCAATGGTACTCCAACTCTGGCAGTTATATACTCTAGATCATGTTAGACGCCCACACGTACAAAAATATATCTCGTAAGCCAACTTGACTTTATATTTTTTTGACATTTCACAAAAATTACATTTTTACATGACTAAAGTAGGCAAACAGCAAGCTGAGAGAAGCAGATAGGACATTTCAAATAATTCAGGCTATGGAAGTTGAAGTACAGAGCGAACTAATTTAGCTTATGGAGGAGACAAATATTAGTACAGCAGTGCCAGATAAACTTTATGGCTCACAAAACAAAAAAGAACGAGAAGAGACGTATGTTGCCAGTAGCCCACAAAAGAAGTTAGAAGTAGGAAGCTAGGAATAACGTACTTCGATGTGATATTCTTAATATGCTTAGCCATTCGTAGAATGTGCTCCTCAGATTCAATCACATTGGGACCCGCTAGCAGAAAGAATGGGTTTGCACCCTGTAGTAACAGATGCAAAGGAAATTAAATAATAAAACATGCATTATTAGCATAACTCGCAAAATGCTTAAACAAATATTGCTGAGGAAAACAAAAAAGAAGCAGATCGCTTCAAACCTTGAGCTGGTTAAACAGAACTGTAGATGGATCCATTTTCGCGGTCGAAAGAAACAAAAAAGGAACTGCGCGAAACAACAAAGCACTCAAGAAATTCAGAAAATTTGATTGCCAAGGTATACCAAGCCTTAAAGCATGCTACATTCTACAATTCTCCAAAAAAGAGGTCAGCGACTTTCCAACACGTTCTCAGAATCTCATGACAAGAAGCAAGATGGCTTACTACTAAGAAAGGTAGCGAGAGTGAAGGAAATCTTCCAAGATCAGCGAAAGCGGTGATCTTCGCCCCTAAAAGTTATTTTTAATACAACTCCATCAATCAAAGTGGAATTTCACGAAATTCTTTTTTTTTTCCTTTTCCATTGCGGTCGATGTTACTGGGTGTTTCTGTTTCACGCTTCTGCTTCTGTAGTGAAGTCGGAGATCCGTAATTCTAAAATGGGAAAATTAAAAAAATTAATATTTATTGGAGAGTAACTTAGAAATAATAATTATTTAGACAGACCGAATCTCAAAATATAAATTAAAAATATTAAGTTGTCCCTTTAAAAAAAAAAATTACCCCTGACCTAACCATTTTTTTGGATTCAAACTTACGATGTTTTCACAGAGAGACAGAGAGAGATACTAACGGTTAACATTAATTATCCTTAATCAAATCTCATATTACAATTTTTCTTATAACATCTCAAATTGTATTTAACAATTATAAATAAAAATATTTATTTGAGAAAAAGTTATTTTTTATAACAAGAAAATAAAAAAAAACTGAACTAAACTAATGCCTAGAAACCTGAAGCATGTTTGGCTCAAAAAAAAAAAAACCTGAAGCATGATAATGATCTCATCTTTCTTGGAAATCGCAAATTCAGAGACTAGAACAGGGTGATCTTGGCAAAATAAGTAACTCTTTAACAATAAATATTTTTTAAAATTCTATAATTTAATTTTTTAGAAATAAAGATTTTAAAATTATATTGATTCAATTATTTAAAAGTAAAGATTTTTTTAAAATCACATTTATTTAATTAAATTTAATACTTTTTTTAACTAAAAACTGCACAATCTCATTTTTTAAAGATTGTCCTCGTAATTTGTGCAGCACCCAACTTTCATTTTAAGGCATTATTGAGAGATTTTATATGATTATATTCCCTCCGATCCTATTTATAAGTTATTTTTATCATCTCATCAATATTAATACAATAAAAGTATAAGGAATTAAAATAAATAAAATTTCAAACATAACCCTCAAATAAAAAGCAAAAAGTAGATCAATCATATAATATTATTTTTTCTGTCTTTCTCTCTCTTATTTTTTAAGGGTAATTTAAGAATTTTAATTTAAAATAAAACAATCCTATCAACAAATGATTAATAAAGTGGACCAAATTATGCTTTTAGAAGGTGACTTATATACTGGACTGGAGGAGTAATAGTCAATTAAATACCTTAATCCTTCATCCTAGTTTTAATTTTTATGTTCCTTCATACTAAAGTTTGCAGTAATAAATCCTTTATAAAATTCTGTGCATTGAGTAAACAAATGTGAATATTAAGCAATTGCATTTTTTTAATGAATATGATAACTATATTCCACTCAGGGAAAAACTATGTACACTGAATGAATGGCTTGAGATCAACTTTTGCTTCGTGTTCTTTAAGAAATGGCTTCTCCAATTTACTCCTTGATGGAAACAAAAGCTATATTAGCTAACCATCGCGCACATATAAATAGAATGGATGGAACAACTTTTTTTCATTCCACTTATTTATCCCATTCATTGAATGCAAGGGAAGAATACAAATTTTGGAAGAAGATGCAAATTTTACAAGATCTTTAGAAATTACACATTAGTGTTTAGCCAAATTATATTCAATAATAATTTATCTCATGTGCGACTTTTGATGTGCTAACACTATAATCCCCCCACAACACGTGTGTGCATGCTGGACCTTTGACGCTGATATTCAGCAATTGAATTTCGACATGATAACAGGCAAAACGTAATAACTGTGTTTCAAAATAGCTGGAACACAAGGTGATGTGAGAGGCAATCAGAGGCGATTGTAGGGGTGAAAACGTTGGTGTCCGAGGTGATGGAAAAGAGAGAGATAAAGGTCTAGAGTCTTTGCCCATAGAGTTCATTTTCGGCTGTTCAACAAAGGAAAAAGATAAGTTTTTGAAGTCTTCGAGTTAAGATCAGGCTACTACTCACCGATGTCCAGTGCCTATATCCTACAAAGATAAACTTCTTGCTGTCGGGGGTGCTTCCTAGTCCTACAAAAGATGAAAAAAAGTGATATCGTTAACAGGTGGAAAGCTTACTTTTTAAAGAGAAATTCAAAGGAGGAAGTTGCTCAGAAGAATGATAGGTCTGATGAGACGAATCACATGAAGATGACTGTCATGAGGGTAAATGGCCTAAACTTCATGCCACAGCTAAAGAATATGCATCTTAGTGTAAGCCATGGATGAACTCTGTGATTGTGAAATTGTTGGGGGTTGATTTTCTGAAGCATTTCATATGAGACAAAATTATTTGCATGTGGAAGACTCAAGGGGAGATCAAGGTTGTTCCGATAAGCAATGGTTATTTCACTATCTCTTTTGTGAACAAGGAGGATCGAGATTATGCATTTCAAGAGAGCCCATGGATGATTGATGACCACTATCTCTTGGTGCAGAAACGACGGCCTAATTTCAATCGCTGGAAAGTGGATACACAATGCAAAATTGCTATATGGGTTAGACTAATAGATCTACTATTAGAACTTTACAATGATGAGTTACTTAAAAGAATTAGTAATATGATAGGAAGAATTATTCGGGTTGATAGGTTACTTCAATATATGATAAAGGAGGATTTGCTCGGCTTTTTGTTGAGATTGATTTGCAGAAGCCATTACTCCCACTTTTTGACTGGTGTGGTGAAGGTAGACCCATGGCATATGAGGGTCTCCACATGATTTGCTTCTTATATGGGAAATACGACCACACAAGAGACCACTGCTCTGATAATACGGATGAATAGCAGGTTCATGATCCCACAAAGTCTATGTTGCATGCTGATACAACAGATAAATGTCAGTTCAATAAAGATGGTATGGAAAGGGGTGCAAACACGATGGTGGACACAGTTTGCGATGACAGATCCGGTGGCAGCAATGAATGGGGGCTGAGTATGATTGTTCACATGATTTTTGAAGCAGTTTAAACAAGGAGAAATCTAAGGGATTGGAGCAAAAAGGTAGGCTGAAGAACAAGTAAAAATCGATACGTGATATACTGTCAAAAAATCTACACAGAGCTACTTTGATTCAAGATAATATAGAGGATTACATGGGAAGGATATTTTCAGGGTGAAGGAAGGGGATAAAAACAAAAAGGAAGACCTTAGTCAATGTGCGTTTAGTCAAGATTTGGAGCTAAATAAATCTGATTGGACCATGGTTGGAGAAAAGAGGGAAAATTCAAATAAACCCAAAATGAAAGGGAAGGAGAATCACATGGGCACTATTGAGAGAAACAAAAAGAAACACATGGTGGCCTCTCAAGTTTTAAGCCCATCTTGACTTCCAACACCTTTAATGTACTTCAATGTCGGCCACTGCCTTTCAACAATAATTTAGATCCAGGAGCTAGCGGTACTATTAGTAACTTTGTGTTTATAGATGTAATTCATACAGCTGCCACACTGAATAGGCTAGCAGACATTAGTCGAACACCTGAAGGTGACTTACCTTCATGAGGAAAAATTAATGACGTGGAACCATGGATGAACACCCTTTAACTAAATCTATGACTACAAATGATGCAATCATGGAAAATGACTTAAGTATGAGAGAGGATAATTCCCACCAACAACCCCAACTAGTTTTAAGATTATATAACTTTGAAATTCAAGAGGGACTAGCAGTAAGACCTTTTCTTCTCTGGTCCAGGAGATGAAGTCTCATTATAAGGTTGACTTCTTAGCTATTCTTGAAACTCGCTTCAATATGGATATTGTAGCAAGAAGAGTAGTGTCTTTGGGATTTCAATACAGTGAGGTTATGGATATCGACAATTATAGCAGTGGAATTTGGTGTCTTTGGAATGCTTATGGGAAGAAGATTCATGGTTTAAAATCTAACTTCCAATTTATTCATCTTTGCATTGAGGAGATAACAGGTACTTATTAGTTTCTTATGGTGATTTACGCCAGCCCTAACCCTTTCATTCATAATGGCCTAACCCTTTCATTCATAATGGTCTTTGGCATGATCTAACAAGAATACATGCCTCCTATCCTGGACCCTAGATTGTTAGAGGAGATTTTAATGCTACCTTCTATGATCATGAATGTCAATCTCAAGCTCGTCGCAGATTATCTAGTGATAGGGCTTTTATTGATTGGTTTGATGGGATTGACTTAATTGATTTAGACTTTAGTGGCCTATGCCTCATGTGGTCTTGTGGGGACACAGCGGCTAGACTTGACTGATTCATTTGCAATGAAAGCTGGGTTTCCTTATTTCCTAATGCTACAGTGACACACCTCCCACACTTTAAATCTGATCACAGGCCTCTTCTTCTTAATCTCAATGTTAGTGAAGGGTCGAGGAGAAAAAATTGACCTTTTCATCTTATTGCCTCTTAGGTCCTTCACGATCACTTTGATGATTATGTTAGACATGAATGGAAGGAAGATCTAGATTGGTACTCGAATATTTTTAAGTTTTGTAGGTGCTTGCTCAAGGTGAAATAAAACAACCTTTGGGAATATTAATGCATGAAAGAAGTAGATCATGAGACATCTGGATGATATTGTTCAAGCATTTAATCATGGAGGAGACGTAAGTATACTTGAGGAATTACAACTCTCTCTTTGGAAGGATCTTGAAGAAATTTTAATCTAGGAATCTCTTTTATGGGCATAAAAAGCTAGAGTTGAGTGGAACTTGCATGGGGATGGTAATACCAAACTCTTTCACTCAAATGCAAACAAACAATGTAAGATCAATAAGATTAATGCCATTTGTAATGAACAAGGAGATTAGATTTATGATACTGATGAAATTAAGCTGACTGCCACTTCTTACTTCTCTAATCTTTTCGTTGGTAAGGTTAGTTATCATCCACCTCTTGATTGCTCTATTTCTTATCCCAATGTAGACGATATTTTTCTTTGCCTTTGCGGCAAACCTGCTAATGATGAAGAAATTAAGGATGTGATTTTTAATATGGCCCTCAAGGCTCGGGGCTGAATGGTTTTAATGCTTTATTTTTTTAAAACCAATGGGCAACCATTAGTAGGACTATGATCAAATTTGTTTAGGAAATTGTTGAGAATCCCAGAAGGATTGAGGAAGTTAATAAA